AAAAAGATTAACATTTTGATATTAGTAACAATAGCAACGAATTGAAAAATGATTAATGTAGTAGTAAAGCATTTTCACTTTTTTTTTATTAGTAGTTTCTATCGAAATTAAATTCAAAATAATGCCAGCTTGTATTAGCTAAAAATAGCTAAGACGGCTAACAAAACCTTTTCACTCTAAAATAAATGTAGTCATTTTTAAATATTCTTGTTAGCATCAAGTACTCAAATTATGATCAGCTTAAAAATCAGTGCATAGTGCTTATTGGTCAAAGTTCTCAAAAAGTAATCTCTGAGATAAAGCTTTTCTGATGTTAACATAGCATAAACAAAAATAAATGAATTAAAATCATTTAAAAAAATTGTTTTACTAAAAATAAAAATCTTTATAGATTTATTGTAAAATCATTGAAGTAATGTACAAATAAATCATTAATTGTTATTAAAAAAAAAAAAAGAAAATTATGTCTTTAGCATTTAAACCAATAAAAAGTTTATTTCAGTATAACAAGTAAACAAGCATAACATTTTATTTTGTTGTAAAAAGGCAAATGAGTACTTTTTTTTTTTCAAATACTTGATTTGTTATGAATAGTTTTTGCTGATTTTTGCCACAACAACACAAATATAAAAATAAGTAAATAAAATAAATTTGATAAGTGTTGTATAGCGTTATTTTATAATTTTTGTTCAATAACATGTAGTAAATCTTTTTTGCGCATTTAAATCAGCTCAAAATTATTCATATAATTCAAAACATATTTTTGAATATTCTTCAAATATAATTTTATTTTAGTAAGCTGATTTGTTTAGTTTACGTAATTATGTTGATCGAAAAAAAAAAATCAGAAAGAGTAAGCAAAGGCTAAAAGTTATTGAAGAAGACATAAATGATTCTGAAATTATATGAAGTTTGAGCAAGTTTAAGTAAATGTGAAATAAGCCCAAATCAAACACATTCCGTATAAAACTGCAAAATGAAGTTTTTTGATGCTTTTCTTCATCAGTATGCTAATTCTTTCAGTCAAAAAAGTAACGTATACAAACGAAAATCACTATTTATCATAGCATCACGCTAAATATATTTATTTACTCTTTTGTGTAGCTATTTACATTTTTATTCAAATAGAATTCAAAAAAGTTTTCATTAATGTATTTTTAAATACAAAGTAAAACAATTGTGCTAAAGAATTATATTCATATTTTCACATTAAAAGTTGATGAATTTCTTTTATAAATTTAAAAAAATTCTCATAGACAATTTTTTTCTATAATTGTACTGCATTAGATTATTATTGATAGATAAATTTACAATGTGCCTAAAATAATGACATGTAAGTGTAAAAAGCTTTAAAATTTATAAGAAAT